AGCCATTTTGGAGCTACATTATTATTACATGTACTATGACTGCATTTAAATTTCATGAGATTTAGAGTTTTCAAAGTATACTAAAAGACCCAGGTGTACCAGTAACTGAATAGAATATTAGTTAAAGATTTATTGGGGTATAATTAAGTTGCATTATTAATTCACTCAATAATTTCAGCCTATCTTCTGAAGTTTTCATTTTTTCGTTGTCTTAAATTCTACTTATCTGCACTCAAGTTCACTTAGTATATATCCTTTTATTTCCATGCCAATACTGAGCCAACTACAAAATTGTTTATAGATGTATTTTTCAGTACTATACTTTTATTTATTTCATTATGATAATGTCTAATGCTTTCTTTAGATTATTTTATTAAGTAGAGGGATTGAAGCCAGTGCCCAGTGCATGTCAAGCAAGCTAACTCAGCTAGCCCCCCACCATTCCTTTCCTGTTTTTGAAGATAATCTGTACCTGCTTACTGAAGTTTTTCCACAATCTGTGTTCTAACTTGTTTGTCTGATAATACCAACATCTGACTCACCTCCGTGTTTGTGTCAGTAAATTGCTTTTTATCGCTCATGTCGCAACATTCCTGTTTTTCTGTCTACTGAGGAATTTCCACCAGGCCCTGGACTTTCTGACCATTATCTTCCTAGGCTTTCAGGCTTATCTTTTACTTTAATAGATACCCATTCACTGAGGTTCGGCATAGAAATTCTGAAGGTTTATACAAGTTTATCACATCACAAGATTGGGGAGCCCAATGCCTCTAGAAACAAGTCTTCCAGGCAACCAAGTTCCAAACCTTTAGCAGGGCAAGAATACACTCAGTTTCCCTGTTGCCCCCCTACCCCCAGAACAGGCCGACCACTGTCATGCTGATAAGTCATATATTATCTAGGACCTTTGTTCTGTGTAAATTTCCACTCACCCCTTAACCGGAGATGTGGTTGGAACTTTGCAAACATCTGCCTTAGCCCCAAACCATAGAGAGCACAGTGTGTTTTAACCTAATATGGTCATGTTGACTGACCTAAGGTCTACTTCTTGTGGTGCAACATTTACCATTCCTTAAGAAAACTTTCAAAAACAGCACCGTTAGGTTTCTCAAAGTCGTCTGTACCTTTACCTCAAACATTGCCTCAAGGTTGACTTCAAGTAACCTTTTGCCTGTCTTGAGACATCTCTGGAACTTCCGTGTTCTTATAATCTGGAAGCTTAAGAGACTTATAGTTTCAGCGATTCTTTGATTTCAATATGTTCTTTGATGCTATTTTCATGTGATCTGACACCATTGCTGCTTCCACTAATCTTGTTAATGCCCCCCCAAAGCAATGGAGACTCAGGCACTTGTGAGGCTGTCTTTTCTACTAATGCCACTCAATAGACCCATATCAGTAGAAAGCAAAATGGATTCACCATATTTCAGGGAGTTCCTGTTGTGACTTGATTCTTCTTGATGAAGCTGTCTATCAACCTTGTTTGATACATGGAATACAGAACTGTGTAGTATATAGGACACAAAGAAAGGCTCCCGAAGCAAGTCTGTTGAGTGTCCTCTGTTAGCTTTCCAGCTAGGTGTCTCTGGGAGAGAAGGAGAGGTCTGCCCCAGTTAGGAAGGCGAGCACTTCTGTGACTGCAAACTGTCAGTAAGAGTTTCTTTCCATGTAATAGTCCTTGACAAGTTACCAAACTTATTTGTGGAACCCTTGGAGTAAGGTGAGGGTATTGGTGCTTTTTTTCTATTGCTAGTTTGAATGTTATATGTCATTTAAATCGGGTGCCTTTTTACTGTTAAGTAAATGACAAGTACATTATGGTTCCTCCATGCCCTGGATTCTACAACCCTGTCACCTTCTTTCCACTTTTCTGAAATCTCTTACATTACTGTCAGCATTGTGTCTCTTTATGGGGAAGAGAAGGAAGTAAAGCATCTGGACAGTCTTGTCCCAAATCTGAAGTCCTAGCTCTAATTTCATTTGTCCTCAAATTCATCAATCATTTGTAACTTCAGTTACATTTCTAAATGTCTATTTATCTCTTTTTTATGGTTTAATAGTTTTCAGTGTGCTAGTTACAACTAAGCATTCTTGGTACTTGATTAAATATAGTTTTATGGGTCCTACAGTGAGTCTATAAGAAAACACATCTTGATGATTTTTAATATTATAGTTCCAAGCCCAGAGTAGTTATAAACATCAGTTACAAATTCCTTCTAAATACTGAATTGTAGTCAGTGGTAAGGTGGTGTTGGATCATGGTCTGTAGTCTGTCAATTATATTTTAAATAAATGCTGATTGGCCAGTAGCCAGGCAGGAAATATATGTGGGACAACCAGACAGGAAGCAGAGGCGGGTCAAGGGGAACAGGAGAATTCTAGGGAGGAGGAAGCCCACTCCTCCCCAGTCCTGTTCCAATCACAGAAGAAGAAAGATGTGATTGCCTCGCTGAAAAAGGTACTGAGCCATGTGGCTAACACAGATAAGAAGAATGGGTTAATATAAGTTATAAGAGTTAATAAGAAGCCTGAGCTAATGGGCCAATCAGTTTATCATTAATATAGACCTCTGTGTGATTTCTTTGGGGCTGAACGGCTGTGGGACATAGTGAGAGGACAGAAACCAGGCAGGAAAAAAACCACAGACAATAAACAAATGGTGCCCACATGAACAACTGTATCCACATAAAGCCTGACAGAGCTTGTGAAGTAATTCTAGACAGAAAAGAATAGAGTAAAGCATGGCTTCCTGGTAGCAGCAATTTCTCGGGTCTGCTCTGCTTTCTAGAGGCAAGCAAGCACTCTCATTTAAGAGAGGCTTCCTGATTCAGCTTTAGCTGCAAAACCTTGCAGCTCTTTAAAAAGGTCCTGCCATGAAACACTTAAATGGTGTTGAAAAACTGACCACATGCTTTCTGTTTATGACAGGGACCTTGAAACGCCATAGAGTTGTAGCAAAAAACATAGTTCTGGCCAGTACCTCATCCATGAGGCTGAAGTCTAAGAAAGCTAAGGAATGAGCTGGATCCAGCCGTCAAAGCCAAGGCTTTAATCCTACCCACATTGCTTAGCAAATTAAAGACTCATGCGGTCAGAAAAAAAGAGATATATACAGTAAGAGAGAGTCAAAGATGAAGAAACCCTCTAAATGGTTTTCAGTGTGTTAAGAATATATGCAGGCTTGGGAGAGAAATGAAAAAGGTTAAAGTCCTTAAAATAAGAAAAAAAGAAAGAGAGTAGTTGGGTATGGCACACGCCTTTAATCCCAACACTTTGGAGACAGAGGCAGGCAGACCTCTGTGAATTCAAGGCCCGGTGGCACATGCTTTTAATCCCAATGCCTGGGAGGCAAAGGTGGACAGACCTCTGTGAGTTCAAGTTGTGGTAGCACATAGCTTTAATCTCAATACTTAGGAGACAGAGGCAGACAGACCTCTGTCAATTCAAGGTGTGGTGGCATACACCTTTAATCCCAGCACTTGGGAGGCATAGGTGGGTGGATCTCTGTGAGTTTAAAGACAGCCTGGTCTACAGAGAGAGTTTCAGGACAACCAAAGATATACAGAGAACCTGTCTCAAAAAGTAAAAGTAAAAATAAAAGAAATAGAGATTAAAATAAAGTCACGAAAAGATGAAAATTAAACAGAGAATCTTAATACCGTATGTTATTATGCTGTCTTTGAATTGTTTGAATGCTGAGGAAGGAGTAACAGCTGCTAAAAGATATTTGCTTATGAATGCTGCTGAATTAATCCAAGATAGGTATTTTGAAAATACCTTGACTTCAAAATCGAAGTCAAAAGGTATGTTACTTTGGAGAAGAAATTTTGCTTTTGTTTCCACAGGAAATGAGAGGCTGTGGATTCATTCTGAGTTAAGAAAAATCAGGTTTGATCAAGGAAGACCACCTGAAAAATCTCCAGTAGGAACAGATGGCCCAGATGTCAGAGTTCTACATCCAGAACAGAGTCAAGATTTTGCCTGAGATAATCAAGATTCACAGGATACTCCAGTCAGGACTTGATCATAATTCTAAATTTTCTTTAGGTCCCCATAAGATTATCAGCACCCCCAAACAAGCAGCAAGGAGCCAGGAATACTTTGCTCACATTCCCAAAAGATGGGTAATGGATATTCTTGGTTTTTTTTTTTTTTGAGAGAGAGAAGTGGTGTGGGACCATGGTCTCTATTCTGTCAATTATATTTTAAATAAACACTGATTGGCCAGTAGCCAGGCAGGAAGTATAGGCTGGACAACCAGACAAGAAATAGAGGCAATTCAAAGAAAACAGGAGAATTCTGGGAAGGAGGAAGCACATTCCTTCCCAATCCTGTCCCAATCACAGAAGAAGGAAGATGTGATTATCTTGCTGAAAAAGGTACCGAGCCATGTGACTAACACAGATAAGAAGAATGGGTTAATATAAGTTATAAGAGTTAATAAGAAGCCTGAGCTAATGGGTCAATCAGTTTATCATTAATATAGACCTCTGTATGATTTCTTTGGGGGCTAAACAACTGTGGGACCTGGTGGGAGGACAGAAATCAGGCAGGACACTAACCTCAGACAACAGTAAGGCATATTTGTAATATTTATTATCCTTTAAGATTAAACTGTATGATCAACTAAATAGTAGGAAACTAAGATTTTATGAGTTGCTTTAAATGTTTTCTTTAGTTATAAATCTATTTTCGTTAATTTTTTGTTAGATTTTTCTTTGTTATAAACTGCATTATGAAAAACTTGCAAATAAAGACATAAATTTATTTTTAAACCTAGTCCTGGCCACAGAATACTCAGTATATTGATTTCTGCATTTTAATTAATACTGTTTTTGCAGATTAAATAGAATGAGCTGGAAATACATTTTTCTGAGATAATTCAGTTTTATCAAAGGTTAGTTTTATTAGTTCTATAAAAAATCATCAACATTTCAAAGGCATTTCACTAAGAATATGAGAGGCAATGCATTTGCTGCTTGAAAGCAAAGGTTACTTACTGCTCTTTTCCTAGAACACCCTGTAATCCAAGGCACAGTAAGGGTTCCTGAAATCTGTGGAAACAACAAATGGAATTTTAGTAAAGTATAGATTCCCATTGCTTGTAATGCTGATAAATACCAAAAACACTGTGCATGCTGTAAAGATAAATAGATAGATCTGTATTCAAATTATATTCCAAAGCACAGGTATTTTTTCTGTACCAATTTAGAGGGAATTCCCTTGCATAAAAAGAAAAAAATTAAAAATGGTATAAAATTCCCCCAGAAATTAAAATAAACAAATGTTTGTTGGGTCCTGTAAAGGATATGAATGTATATGGAAAATAAAATTATTTAAAAATTGTAATGCTTTGTGGATTAAATGGAAAGTGGAACTTCTTAAAAATCACATCATCACAAACAAGAGATGAAATTATAAATGGAGCACATTAAATATTTACTTTGAACACTCAGCAGTTGCTAACATAAATATTGTTATAGTCAACTTCCTAATGTAAACCTTAGGGATTCAGTGCAAATCACTGAATCACTGTTTCTCTAAATTGTGTCCTCACCAGTTATCTATCTTGCTATGCATTCTACTCTTTATCCGCCCTTATCACAGAATGATAAAATGTAGATTGTAAAAGACCACTGAATTAAATGACAATACTTATGTATAAATAAAATATGGCTGTAAAAGCTAGCAAGGTGAAATTTTAGCCCACATCAAGACTATCGAGATAAGAATGTTCAAGCAAAATCTGTTCTTTTTGAGTCACAGTTCAGTATTCAGTGTTGAAGTTCTGCAATGTTGCAATCATGAACAGATAGATACATCTTCCAGAGTCTACAAGTATTTCATATCTTAGCAAATACTTGCCAATATTGTCTCCAAATGTTGAGAGATTTTAAGTTTTACAAATAGAACAGAGTAATGGTCATAGCTAAGAACACACTTGCTTCAATTCTCTGTATAAAGGAGTTGGGAATTTGGCTTCACATAGTAAAAGTATTTTTCTTCCTTGTACAATATTTTCACTCAGTGTACAATAAAATGGCGATTAGCTGAATGTTGAAGGTCATGATGGAGCTGCATAATTGACTTTTTATTTTAAAATAAGTAGGGTAAATCAACTAATATAATCACATTATGTGCTCCATACAAATAGCAAAATTCAATTATTTTGAATTACCGCCTTACATAGTACTATTAGTGAGAATAATTCAAGAGGAGCTACACAGAACTTCTAGAAAACAAGTATGTTATCACAAAAAATTATGGCCAAATCAGAATTCTAAACAGCAACTACTAAAGAGTTGGATACAACTAAAATTTTATAATCAACTAACATCTACTGTAATGTATTCTTTATTCCCTTACATTTCTAGCCCAATCTAAAGAACAGCTAGCCAGAGTAGCTAGATTTGTTTTGTTTTACAAAATTGAAGAATACCATAGATAAACATTTATTTAACTTTGGGGAGTCTTGTTTGGTACAAAATCGAAGGCAGAATTCTCTTTCACTAGAATCTATAAAGTATAGTACTCAAGTGAAATTGACAATAAATTTTAATGGTTTACATAACAGCCTGATTTTAAAAATTAAGAAATGAATTTACAAAGAGTGAGTCAAGGTGGATCTTACATATATTTCTAAACGTACACAACCAAATGAGTGCTCTATATTTTAAAGTAGGAAATTTAGGATATTATAAACTCATTACAATAATGTTGTCATTGTTGAAAGCATCTGGGAAACTTGGAAATGTCAGTTCATGCCTCATCTAGAGGTTCTGTCTTATTACTTCACACACCTTTTATTGTAACTAAAAAATACACCCTAGATTAAACATTCATACTATTCACTAAATGTGGCTCAGAATGAATTCTATTTTCCAAAATCAAATTTTAGTGATGATTTGTCATCACTAAAAGCATTTAAAAGAATCCCACAGGTACTTAAAAACAATTGTAAAAGACTTCAAAAACTTTTTGACAAATTGAACATTATTGAAATAAGTAGATATAACTTTCCAAGGTATCTAATTTAAATTCTGTTCAAATGTCTATCAGGTATCTCTCCTATATGAGATTGTTACAGGAAATAAAAAGATAGGTAAAAAGCTAATTTCCTGGAGGGCAAGAATTATGATTTGAAAGGAAGAGATAAGGCAGGTACATGAAAGATTTTACTACAAAGAAAACTATAGTAAGATTTATAATGGATGTCCAATAAATAAAGCAGTAGGATTTCAAAGTATGGCAAAATTACACCCACTTGTGGATTGGTATCTCAGCTTAACCTTAAAAAGTGAGTAAAATATTGACAGAACTAGAAAGAGATATTCCTGGAAAAAAAAGAATTGTATCACCACTGTGGCATTACAGCATAGCTGTGTCCAAGAAAATGTCAGTTCAACTCATACTTCAATGGTAGCTTAAAGTCACTTTGTCGAAGTGAGGAATGCCATCTATACTTCAATCTAGTTCTATAGAAAATATGGAGCTGTTGAAGTGTCTTTGGTACATCTGTTATGTGGCAAAACTATATTTTTTGTAGATTAGGAAGTTTAATATGCCTCAGCATGTATAAGAAGTACACAAACTTTTCTAAGAATTTGTGCAAGAGGTAACACAGACTTGACTAAGGTAGAAGTATGAAAGGTAAAGAGAAATGCAAAAAATAAATACATTAAAAGACAGATATTATGTATGGGACAGAAAATAATTGGATACTTGGAAGATGACAATGGGCTTTGTTTAATGAACATCATAAAGCTACTTCCTAGACAGGCCAACCCGTTCAATCCAACCAAGAATCATAAGTTTAATACAAGGAAATGTCTTCTGCTGGAAGTCTGTGTCTTATGACCAAGCATGGATGTATTTTGAAAAAAAACACAATTGTTTGGATGTAAATTAGAATTACATTGTGTGTGTGTAGTTGTGCATAGTAATTCACATGTTTCATGTAAAATCATGCTTATACTTGGAACTGATGATCCAAATCAATATATGATTATTAAATCATTTTGAAAATTAAAATTATTTCATTTCATAGAATTTATATCCTACAAATGTCACAAAGGAATCACATTAAAAGTATTAACCTGATTCAAAAAGTAATTTATTTTGTTCATTAGTGCTTTGTCAGCTTGACACAGGCTAGTCATCTGAAAAGAAGAAAGTTCAATTGAGAAAAAGATTGGCTTGTGTGAAAGAGTATGGAGCATTTACTTGATTAATGGTTGGTATGGGAGGGCCCAGCTCACTGTGAGCAATGCCACTCCTGGGCCAGTGGTCCTGAGTTGTATAACAAAACAAATATTGGAGAGCAGTTTAGTAAGCAATATTCCTTCATGGTCTCTGTTTCAGTTCCTGTCTTCAGGCTTATTGTGTTCCTGGCCAAAACTTCCTCAATGATGGATTGTGATGTAGACATGTAAGTCAAATAAACCTTTTCTTCCGAAGTTGCTTTGGCCATGGCGTTTTATAATGGGGTATTATTGTGGCAGACCTGACCATGTCATTTCTGGAAAGGTTGTGACATATTTTGTGATGCTGGGCTGGAAAAAGCCATTGACAACTCAGAGCTTAATGAGCTGTTCTGTGGTAATTTGAAAGATAATGCTGAAGAAAATGTAGAGAATGGAAACCTGGCTTGTTATATATTTTAGAGGGAAGTTTTTGAGAATTCTGCAAAGATTTTATCCAGGACATTCAAGTAATATTTTAAGTTACAAATATATGATGTTTGCTCAGCGGGGCTGAAATATCAATTATGATTAACAAGAGACTAGCACCACTACAGTGAAACCTTTGCTTCACTGGGACAATTGAGCTGTTGGCTTTGGCTGAGAGATAACTATGATTAATAAGATACCAGAAGCATTGAGGAAAAAATAATTGAGGAAGTGTTCTCTCAGGTTCTGCACACAGAAACTGTGGTCCTGAAGGGGACAAGATTGCACCTCATATTGGCAGCCAAACTTAGTAATGTGTAAGAATCTCTCACCTGGTACTTTTTTTGAAGACATGAAGTGGTCCTGGAAAGCACTGAGGCTCCACACTATGAATGGTCAGGAGAGGCCAATCATGAAGGTAAATCCTCAGTTGTAGAGGAAAACCCAGGATTGTAGCGATCATGGGGAAATGCCAAGGCTTGGAACCAAGTAACAGGGTTGGAGTCCCTGAAGAGAGGCTGGGAGTTCACTGGTCAAGGTGCAACATGTGGAGTCCCCGGCATTTTGGAAAAGTCAGTACTATGGGATAACCAACAAAGTCAGCAGCAGTTTTAGAATGGAGCCCACTTGAAACTATGAAATGAACCGTGTGCCTTGTGGATGGCAGATCTAGAGAAGCGGAACTGCCCAGGTTCTGTGACACCCAGAAGATCTTGAGTAAAGTCTAGATGTGGGACATTCAGTTACAAGATTTGATTTACACTGCTGGATGTTGGTTTTGTGTTGCTTTGATGGTGACGATATAGTTGTCCTTTCTTGGAGCAATAACGTTTTTAGGTTGTTTTCTTGTTTTTTACTAACCCACAGTTATAACAACTTGAATATTTTAGAAACTTCAAAACTTTAACGAGACACTAAGTTTTCAAAGACAACTTGGCTTTTAAATTGCTGATTATTTTTGAAGACTGTGAAACTTTAAAAGTTATACTATGTTTTATATTGTACTATTAATAGTACTATGACATTTTGGAGACAAGAAAGAAAAGATTATGGCTTAATAGTGATGTGTTTTTTTATGTCAAGCTGACAAGGGTCAGTTGCATTAGTTTTGTCAACTTGACACAAGCTAGAGTCATCTGAGAAGAGGAAATCTCAATTAAGAAAATGCTCCATAAGACCAGCCTGTAGGCAAGTCTGTAGGCAAATCTATAGGACATTTTTCTTGATTAATATTTGGTGTAGGGGAGCCCAGCTCATTGTGGGTGAGGCCATCAATGGGAAGATGGTCCTGTGGTATATAAGAAAGAAAGAACAAGTCAGGAAGAACAAGCCAGTAAGAAACATCCCTCCATGTTCTCTGCTTCAGTTTCTACATCTAGGTCCTT